TGACGGACTCCACTGGGCTTTCCATGGAAATTCGAGGTGCTGATAATCTGTCTATTGTGTGATATTTTTCTAACTATCTGTAAAAATAGCGAATTTCCTGTATCTAAGCCCTGATAAGTATTCTAACTCGGGAAGTACTGAAATTACTGGTCCATCGAGTGATGCTCGTGCCAAAGCATCTGCCAATTCCAGTCGTATCCACTTCGTAGTCTTTTTTTCAGGCAGGGACCCTCTACCACTTTATACCCCAATCCCACTATTGCTTTGTGGCAATATGTACGATAGTCGGTGTGGCCTTATAAAAATGGTGGAATAGAGGTGCGGATGTGAGGGCAGACTTTAACAGTCTGAATTACCTTTGCCACTTTTCAGAACATACAAAGGGCACGTCAGAAGCAAGTAGCTGGTGTAGTGGAGCAGCTATTGATGTGAAGTTCTGTATAAAATGGCGGAAATATGAGGCGAAACCGAAGAAATTTCGCAACTCTTTCGAGCTTTTGAGGCGTGGAAAGCAAAGGACCGCAGCAATCTTATCCGGAACCGACTGAAGTCCTTGCCCACGAGATGACCCAAGGCCTTGATAGCTTTAGTTGCGGAACGATTTGTTTATTATTGAGTTGGAGACCTGCGGTAGCAAGGACGTCTAAACTCCACCCAAGCGTTGCAGATGCTGAGAAAACGTTGATGAAACGATAAAAATCTTGTTCCGGTAGCACAGGCAGCTCTTTTAATGGAGGCTGCGTAGCACGGAATAAGCCATGTGCTCAACAGTTGCAGGTGCCTCGCACAAGCCGAAAGACATAACGATTGATTCGCATAGCCTATAGGGGGCTGCCAATGCCATTTGAAGGCCCCCTTAAAAGACAACCTGAGAAAAAAATGCCAGGCCTGCGCGGAAAGCGCGGCACAGTCACAGCGGAAGCTAGAAAAGCGGCCTTTCACAGCCTTTCAAAACACCGATTGGGTAACTACTGCAAGCACACTTGCTTGATACCCACTACAACATTATTAATAAATATTTTTGGGCAGCAGGCCGGCATTCGCCAAACTATTTTTTGCCGTTTTTTTCCGAGAAGCATCGTATCTCCTAAACACTAGGACGGAATTGCGCGCCAATTGTTAATGATGTGGCTGGTGACGATGATCAATTATGGCTGAAGTGGGTATGCGCTACAGTTAGTAGAGCAACAAGAACAAGATTTTGTAATGAGTTGGAGAATGGGAAGAACCACTTGTTACGCTATTCAAATTGTACGACGACTGGATGCTCTTTCGCTGTTTTAAAACACTAAATAAGTCGTTTTAAAGCGATTGCTTTCCCGACATCAAGCCTGCCCAAGGCACGTTTGCTCAAAAGTCCAAGCTACCAGTTGGCTCAATCGTAGAATACTCTGTTGGCACCCAGCGGACTCGGGTTTGAGCCCGGATGTGTCATTAGTGCTATGTCTTTTTTTTCTAAATTGTGTTGATGTGGTTATGTACACCGGCGGTGGAGGCGGCGGTGGACAACTGCGTCTGACCCAAATTGTGATCTCATAACAGCTTTCACTGTAATAACATTGCCAACTCAAGAAAGGCGTTGACTTCCTTGGTAATTAATATATGGAAACGGTAACGAAGTGCCCTTAGCTCGAGAAAGAAAATAACAAGCTTAAGACTCAAAATGTAGCATTCGTGAAATATTATTCATAAATTCAGTATGTATGATCCGCCCGACTCATGGCTGATCTCCAAAGTGGGTAAATGCCAATTATTCAATCATCATCATCATCATCATCATCATCATCATCATCTCTCATCATCATATCTATCATCGTCATCGTTATCATCACCGGTTGAATAGGAAAAACTTAAAAAGCATGCTGTTGAAAACGACTAGAAATCTAACGCCCTCGAGCAGTGCTCACGTAACCAGAGTACTGAACTAAAAAATGTTTCCAGTGCCTCCGTTAAAAGCTGATAGAGATACTTTCAAAAAGTGGTGAATCTGTGAATGAAGCAACTGGAGAAAGCGATGTTGATGCCTGTCATCGCATTATCGCCAAAGATAAGCCATATCCGGATATTGCTGCACAGTTTCGCAAGCGGTCTAGACGTTACGCTGTTCTGGAAAAAAGCGTGTAAAATAAGTTTATCTGCTACGGACGTCAACCTCTCTGAGACATCCCCTATTTACGTAAACGAACGCCTTTGCCCGCAGCTAAAAAAGCTGCTTGGAGTGATCGTGGCATAAAAGAAATAAATGCACTTGATTGATTAATATGTCAGGTTTAACGTCCCAAAACCATAATGTGATTATGAAAGACGCCGTACTGGAGGGCTCCTGAAATTTTGAACACCTGGGATTCTTTAACGTGCACCCAAATCTGAGCACACGGGCCTAAAACATTTCCGCCTTCATCGGAAATGCAGCCGCGCCACCAGCATTCGATCCCGAGACCTGCAGGTCAGCGGCCAAGTACAAGAAATGAACTGGTTCTATGAGTGGACAAGGGATAGAATGATATTCACCTGAAAACTGAGACAACCAGAGTGCTCCTGATAACGAGAAGCATTGATCTTGAAAAGATTGTTAAACGTTCGCTTAATCTCAGCTGTGATGTCACAGCGGCTTTGTTGCAATAGGCAGGTACTGAATGGAATGGCAACAACTGTCTTCAGTGGCTGTCATAAAAAAGAACAAAGTTTTCTTGCATGAAACGCTCCATCTGCTAGAAATAAAGCAGATGAAATAACAGCATTCCTTGATGGTTTGATACTCAAATTCGATGTGATTATGATCACTTATACTTAGTACCGAGAAAATTCTGATGCAGTCCACCTGTGTGGCTATCGAACTCAAAACATAAATCAAAATGGGAACACAGGATGTGGTTTTATGTTGCTCATGAAGTATTCATTTGATTGTGACATAATTAACACTTTCTCTGTAATTGACACTTTCTCTTTCTCTGTAGACGCCGTAGTGGGGGGCTCCGGAAATTTTGACCACCTGGGGTTCTTTAACGTGCACCCAAATCTGAGTACACGGGCCTACAACATTTCCGCCTCCATCGGAAATGCAGCCGCCGCAGCCGGGAATCAAACCCATGACCTGCGGGTCAGCAGCCGAGTACCCTAGCCACTAGACCACCACGGCGGGCAACAAAACATCCAGAAGAAGCGCACAACATCTTAGACACTTTTATCACTGTTTTTAATGACTGTTTTGCTTACGAAACTAAAAAGCAACCGCGTAAAGCACGTGAACCACGGATAACCACGAATTCTCTCAGAGCTCTAGAGTTAAAAGCGTTCTACATGAAACATATTTGCAATCGAAGAACAAGAACGATGTAGATACATTAAGAAAACACTGCAACAAGACAAATTACCTTTTACAAAAGACCGAGGATAGTATCTTGAAAATCTGTTTTCGAGAGATATGAAAATAACAACAGAAATCATTGGGTAAAAGGTAAAAATGCACTCTTAAATATAAATCCCCGTGCAAATAATAACCGCAGTGAAATATGTGTGATCAGTACTACTCACACGGAAGAGGATGTACCTGTAGCTTTTAATGATTATCTCACATCGGTATTAAATAGACAACATGGGCCTAATTTCCTCAACATTATGGGACCCCAAATACAGGAAACAGCATTTCTGTTCCCAGTAACTGCAGAAGAGGTCATGTCTACAATGATATCTCTAAACAATGCTACCTATCATTATGTAGATGGTCTGCATATTCGGCCACTTAAATACGTTGCCGCCACCATCGTTCCTGTATTGGAGCACATCAATAATCAAATATTTTCATGCGGCCAGTTTTCTTGCCGACTTCAGGTCACTAAATAATTACAATTTCAATGGTGGTGATAAAGCTAGCATGTCAAATTGCAGGACTATCTCGTACTTCGGATATGCTCTAAGGTTATCGAGAGATTAATACACATGCGAAGTTTTTTGTTCCTTAAGAAACACCACTTCATGTCACCCTATCAATTAGGATATTCAAAAAAAAGAAAACGTTCGACAAAGTGCGCCTTACTATTGCGAAAAGAAAGAGTCTTTGATGTCAATGAACGTGGCGGTACGTGCTTGGAATTTTTGTCGACTATTCAAAGACATTTGATCGCATAACTCGGGTCACACTTAACAAAAAGCGAAAAGATCTTGGTTTCAGAGGTTGTTTCCACCCTGTCATGAAGTCGTAACAACCGTACCACCAGCAAAGCGTTCATATTAACCACACATTCATGTTTCAAACCTTTCCTACATGGTGTTCCTCCCTGAAACATTTTTGGCCACCCACTCTTCAACCAATATACAAATGATCTTGTCAATGCCGATATCAATTTATCTTTTGTTAATTGTGCAGAGGACACAAGGTTATTTTAAGACATAATAGTCTCCCTCTGTTTGCGAAAAATGCAAATGAGGTGCTCATTATATTGAATACTTGAAGTCAGGTCAATTCTTCAACTATAAACATTTCAAAGAAAACAAATTCCGTACCGGCCTAAAAACAAGCCAACAAATTCAAATATTATCCTGCACCTTCACCTTTCAGTATTGTAACTGGTACCAGCAACAAAAACCTTGGTTGTTCTTTTTGAAGAAAATATGCAATGAAACGCTCACATTATGTTGCACACTCGAACCTTTCACGAATGGTAAGCCTTTTAACACGCTTCTGTTACTTTTTACAAAAGCACAACAAATTGCTTTCATACAATTACATACACACAAACAAATGTATATATATATTATATATATATATATATATATATATATATATATATATATATATAATGAGGCGTTTTAGAGCAGCACTTTTTTACAAAACAGGAGAGTGGTCACCACAAGTCATGTGGTAATGGCGGAACCAGCCTGTGTACCCAGCCAACCCGTTCTCTTCACAGGCTGAGTGAAAGGAAGATTCTCGTTTTTTCTCGTGCCAGTGACGTTGACATTTTGCATGCTATGGGCAACAGCTTGTGTACGAGACGATATCATGGGTCGAACAGCCCTTTTATTGCCTATAGTGACGAGTTTAAGTAGGCCAGGCGGGTGACGTCACGCTTACGTAGGAGCGACAGCTTGCGCTCGCTATCGCGGCCGTGCCAACTCGGTTACATCTTCCTTTCCTTGGGGCAATATAGGTCGCTCTGGCATGGGGTACCGACGAGGCTCGCGACGTTCCCGAGTGCTTATCCGTGGTAGTGGCGGCTCTGGAACGTGACCCGAGCCTGGCAAGCCTGAGGAAGGTGTTGTGGTAGTGTCGGGGCATGGTAGCTCTGGAACCTCCCGGAGACGTTCCCGTGTGCGTCGCATTTCTCGGCCATCTTCTGTTTTTACCAGTACAGAGCGTGGAGCTCCCGCTGATCCCAGCACAACGACCGGGGACCACGTCCGTGTGTGCGTGTCGTACAACGAGGCCCTCTGACCCGGTGAGAGGGCGCGCAGGTCCCAAGCACCTCGATTGTAGTAGACCTTCTGCTTGTGGCGAATCTCCTGGAGACGGGAGTGCACCTTCCTTTTGGGCAATGGTGCCGGCTTCAGGTGGCAGGAAGGAACCGGGAGCAGTGTTCTCGTCTGTCGACCCATCAGCTTCTGCACAGGTGACATCAGAATAGCATCACGTGGAGTATTGCGCAACTCAAGCAGAGCTAAATGGAAGTCTGGGCTGTTATACGAACACTTCTTCAGCAGCGTTTTCGCTTCTTGAACTGCCCTTTCGGCCATGCCATTTGCGCGAGGGTGATAAGGGCTTGACGTCACGTGGGTGACTCCTAGTTCATGCAGAAATTCAGGGAACTCTTGGCTACTAAAAGGGGGCCCGTTGTCACTACAGAGCTTCACTGGTAAGCCGTGGACAGAGAAACCTTTCGCGCACCACTCCTTCAAGTGCCGGGCTTAGGTATATCGAAACTCCTTTATTCCAAAATAAAAGGAGTAGAAGTCTACAATTAAGGCAAACTCTTTACCACCGTGATGGAATAAGTCCATGCTAACCATTTCTCATGGCAGACTGGGGACATCATGCGACAGTAGAGGCATCTTAGTGTTTTGCTTTTGGTGAGCCTGGCAAACTTTGCATGATGCTGCAACCTGGTCAATGTCACTCGACATGGATGGCCAAAATATGACACTCCTAGCCCGAATTTTCATCTCTTACGCCCCCGAGTGGGCCAGATGAAGAAGCCGAAGGATTTCAGCTCTCTTAGCGCTTGGTACGGTTACCTTGTTGCTGCGAAAGACGAGGCCATCTTGTGTATGCATCTCTTCTCGATATGCCCAAAGTGGCCTGGCACATGCTGGGACGTCCTCTTTGCTTTCCGGCCAGTCAGTCTCTGCATAGGATCGGATGGCCGACAGAGCAGGATCCTTGGCGGTTGCCACACGTAGTTCCTCGAGGCGACGCTCGGAAGCTGGAACAAGGGCAATGACGTTAACATTGAAGCGCTCGGTTTCTTCCGTCAATAACGCCTTGCTTGGAAAACGAGAGAGCGCATCAGCCAAAAACTGCTCTTTTCCTGGCTTTTACAGTAGAATAATGGCGTATCGCTGCAATGTCAGTCGCATTCGTTGCAGTCTAAGGGGGCACTGGTGAAGTGGTTTACTGAAAATTGGCACCAACGGACGATGGTCGGTTTCCACCGTAACCTCAGATTGGCCGAAAATATGGTCGTGAAATTTTTCACAGCCATGCACAATCGCCAGAGCTTCCTTTTCAATCTGCGCGTACCGCGTCTGAGCATCGCTGAGCGATCTAGACGAGAAAGCGATAGGGTGGCCGTCTTGTATCAGAACGGCGCCAACGCCCATGTGGCTGGCGTCAACAGAGAGGGTGACTGGCTTTTTCGGATCGAAGTAAGCAAGCACTGGCGCTGTTACTAAGGCTTGGCGCAGCTCATTGAAGCTGCATTCCTCTTTTTCTGTCCAGACCCAGGCAATCTCTTTGCGCAGCAATGTTCTAAGTGGTGCGGTGAGTACAGACATTCGAGGAATGAAGCGCTGCACGTAATTCATCGTTCAGAGGAAGACTTTCCATTCCTTACTGTTACTTGGCGCTGGCATGTCCAAAATGGCTTGGACGCGATCGGGTCCCAGGCTCAGTCCTTGCGTGGTGAAAACGTGTCCCAAGTAGCGAACTTGCTCCTGCAAAAAGACATTTCTGTGAGTTCAGACGGAGGTTGTGCTCACGGCAGCGTGTAAGCACCCCGGTCAAGTTGTTGTCATGTTCTTCCTTCGTTGTGCCCTAAACTAATATGTCGTCCATTACAACCGCTACTCCAGACAGGCCCTCCAATAGGCGGTGCATGGCTGCTTGAAATATTTCCGGGGCGGAAGCAATTCCAAAAGGCATGCGGATAAACCGATAGCGCCCGTAGGGCGTGCTCATTGTGCACAATCTGGAGCTGCTGTCAGAAAGTTTTATTTGCCAGAACCCGGATGTTGCGTCCAAGGTAGAAAAATATTTAGCTCCAGCTAGTCGTTGCGCGACCTCTTCTAGAACAGGCATAGGGTAGTGTTCACGCAGAATAGCTTTGTTAAGCTCCGTTGGGTCGAGACAAATTCTTACTTTATCACCTTTAACTACGGCTACCATATAGCTTGACCATTCTGTTGGTTCGGTTACCTTGGTTATGACGTTGTGCTCCTCCATGCGTTGAAGTTCGGCCTTTACTTTTTCTTCAATGGCGACCGGAACCCTTCTGGCTGGCACAACAACACCGACGGCGCCGGGTTTGAGCTTCATTTCGTACTCAAAATTCTTCAGCTGTCCCAATCCTGTGAAAACATCGGTGAAGGGCTGAGCCGCCGGGTAGAGTTGCTGCGTCTCGACGCTATCAACGCGATAAATCAAGCCAAGGCTTTCTGCTGCTGCTCCGCTGAGGGTCACCGGCACGTTTTGCTCTATGACGAAGAAGGTTTCATCGTGCTGTTTATCGTTTACAGATAGCGACAACTTTACTTTAAACTGCGCAGTCGTTTTGTGGCCGAAAAAAACTCGTTAACGTGGCTCGGCAGGCTTCACGTCTTTCTCGGAAGCGACAAAACATCTTCCTTTAAAATCACACAACAGTTTGCCCCAGTATCAAGTTTGCAGACCATCAGACGGCCTTCAATGGAAACTGTCGCGGTTCACTGGTCGCTAGCGAGTGCGTTCACGGTTAAAGCTTCCAGAAAAAAATCTGACCTTTCGTCAACATGTAGCTCTCGTATTTCCCTGCGCTTTGCCTCTTCGCTGTGCAAGAAGGATGACTGCGAGCATGCTTGGGCGAAATGATTCAATCCTCCGCATTTCTTCCACGCTTTTCCTGTTGCTGGGCAGCGGCTGCCGCGGTGAACTTTGTAGCCACATTTGTTACATGGCTTTGTTACTCTGGCCAACGCATTTACGGCAGCAGTTTCAGCGCCTTCAGTGGTGCCACGTATCTGTCGAAACTGCTCCTCGCCTTGCTCTTGGATGCGACCGATTTCGACTACTCTTTGGTAAGAGGGGTTTTCAGAAAATAACTTCTTTTGCAGTCCCTTGTCCCGGATACCGAGTACGATGCGGCTACGAAGCATGCGCTCTTCTAAGTCTCCAAAATCGCAGTGTTGGGCTAGCGTTCGTAATTCGACAAGCCAGTCATTGAAACTTTCGTCCTCTTTTTGGTCTCGGGAGCCGAAGCAAAACTCGTGGTAAGTGAGGTTCTTCGCGGGCTGGTAGAAGTCTTCAAATTTTTTAATTATAAGGGTTACATCGGTTGTGTCCTCTCCTGGCTCAAACTTGAACGAAGCGAACACTTTTCTAGCCTCTTCCCCAATGGTCACTAAAAGCGTCGCCGCCTGCACTTCTTTTGGTTGCTTGTTCAGCTGAGTTGCCGTGAAAAACAGTTCAAACTCACTTTTCCAGGTCTTCCACCCAAGCCAAGCGTCTCGCGATGTGTCGAGGGGCTTCGGAGGCGGCAGGAGCGTTGTCGGCAATGCAGGCGGTGTCGGCAACGTAGGCGGTGTCGTCATGCTGGCTGTTTTCCGCTGCCACTATGTGTACGAGACGATATCATGGGTCGAACAGCCCTTTTATTGCCTATAGTGACGAGTTTAAGTAGGCCAGGCGGGTGACGTCACGCTTACGTAGGAGCGACAGCTTGCGCTCGCTATCGCGGCCGTGCCAACTCGGTTACACAGCTTTTCTGAGTACTTCTCTTTATGAATCTGCTGAACATTCAGTAGATAACCTACGGCGCCTTTTTAAAGAGTTAGTGTTCACGTGCATACAAAACTTCATTTCATGCAAAGATAAAGTACTGCGAAATTCTAACCCCTGGACAACAAAAGATATTATCCGGTTAGGTCGCAAGCTGAATAAAGCCAGAAAACAGCACAAACGACGCCCCTCAAAGAGCAGCACAGATAAAATGCTAACACTGCGCGTGCAACTCAAAAACGTAATCTCAGAAGCCAAAAACCACTATCAGAAAGTGTCCTTAACAAACTTTCTTCTTTCATCGCCTGGGAAATTCTGGCGTCATATCGCACCAAAAAATAAAACTTTGATCAGTCTTTCCATAAACGATACAAACGTAGTCGACAGTGCAGAAATCGCAGAGGCGTTGAATGACTACTTCAGTTCGGTGTTCACAAACGATAACGGAATTACCCCTCCTTTTTCATCATTACACGACATAGATCCCTTAGACAACATTAGCGTTTCTGAAGAAGGTGTGTTGTCGTTGGTGCTGAACATTGATACGGAAAAAATCACCTAGAACTGATGCTATACCCAATGAATTTCTTGTTCGTTATGCGGAATGGTGCTCGAAATATCTAACACTTATATTCTCCAAATCATTGTCTAGTGGCGAAGTCCCGAGTGAATGGAAATACGCAAAAATCAATCCTATACCTAAATCTGAAAACAAGTCACTTGTGTCATCATACAGGCCTATTTTTTTGTTATGTACGTGTGCGAAATTCCTTGAACACATAGTATTTAAACACATCTCCGTCTTCCTTGACCGAAACAACATAATTGACCCCCGGCAACACGGTTTCCGCAAAGGACTATCGACTACCACACAACTACTTGAGACAGTTCACGACCTCGCTAGTGCTCTAGATAGCCATAGTCAAATTGACATTATATTCCTTGATTTCGAAAAAGCATTCGACCGAGTCTCCCATCACAAGTTGCTTATAAAATTAAAACCGATCCTGAAAAACGATTCTTTACTAACATGGATTCGGGCATACCTTTCCCATAGATACCAAAGTGTCTCTGTAGATGGCTCAAGCTCCACCCCCACTTCAGTTCAATCCGGTATACCACAAGGCTCCATCCTTGGCCCGCTTCTGTTTTTAGTATTTATTAATGACATGGTCTGTGACATACCCGTTAAAATCAGGCTTTTTGCAGACGACTGCATCCTGTGCCACGTCATCAATGACCCCAACGACCAGATCACCCTAAACAAATCCCTGGATAAGATGCTCTCTTGGTGTTCGACTTGGCAGATGAGCATTAACCCAAAAAAGACCATCGCTATGAGAGTTACCCGCAAAAGAAGTCCCTTTCTTTTTACCTATTGCATCAACAATAACTGTATATCTCTAGTTAACAGCTACAAATACTTAGGGGTTATAATTACCTCCGACCTAAAGTGGAACGAGCACATAGAGTACACACAAAAAAAAGGCAATGAATGCACTTGGATACTTACGCAGAACCATTGGAAAATCTACCAAAGAAATTAGAACGTTGGCGTACAAAATTTACGTGAGACCCATACTGGAATACGCGTCTCCTGTGTGGGAACCTCATACATTGGCAAACATTAAAAAACTGGAACGTGTACAAAGAAAATTCATAAGGTTTGTTCACAACGCTTATACAAGAAACACATCCCCCTCGACCCTCCTTGAAAGTTCGGATTTGGAACCCTTCGAACGCAGGCGCTCCCGTGAAAGACTGAAGCTGTTTTATCAGATCTATCACAGTAACCTTGGAATCGATAAAACTAAATATATTCTACCGTCGAAATCACGAATAACCCGGTCACACCACAGCAAGAGAGTCCAGGAATTTTCATGCAGAACCACTGCTTTCCAAAAATCATTTTTTCCCCGAGCAGCACGTAGTTGGAATGCCCTGCCCGATGAAACTGTTTCATCCACAACTGTCGCTTCATTCATGAAGGCGATAGCAAATCTGCAAGCTATCCTTTGAACTTTTTTCTTTCTTTCTTTTATTTCATTGTCACCGCATTTAATCTCTTCCGTGTGTGTCTGAGTTGTATTACTTTCCTATGTTCAGCGCTAGCTCAATTGTATCATGCTTCGTCGATTGTGTCAATATGTGTTTTTCTCGCCTTTTTTTTGTCAACAAAACTTGCTCATTCTGAAGCACTGCATTGACTTCAATGTTTGTAAATCCCTGTTTTTCTTCTATATTCCCCCAACACTTTTTTTCTGTTTTAAGCTTCTGTTGTTTTCCAGTCCTGGAAAATGTCCAAACAAGTGTATCTGTCACCCACTCCTGCCTACGACTTGGCATAGAAGTCGGCAGTATTCACTAACTGAATAAATAAATAATACCCCCTGCCTATCCGAGTAGCACTCATCTCCTTCACTACAATTCCTCCCCCACCCCACGGAAAAGAGCCTTCCTGGCGACTCATGGGCAGGAGACAATAAAGGGATCGTAATACGGGTTTAGGCGGTCTATGTGGATGGTTTCACGTCCACGGCGTCGTCGATCATGCAGTTGCTCAAGCGGCTCCATGATGTATTTGACGGGTGAAGTTTGTTTAACCGCACAGTAAGGGCCGGTATACTTGCACATCAGTTTCGTTGAGAGACCAGAGCTGGTCGAAGGCATGCGAAGCCACACAAGGTCATCGGATGCATAAGAAGCCGGAGGCGTCGGGCTATCGCGGTGGTGTTTCTGGCGTTGCTGTTCAGCACTTGTTAGGGAGCGGGCAAGCTGACGACACTCTTCCGCGTATTTAGCCGCTTGTAACATGGCCGAGTTGACACGCCGGCAAAGGTCGACCACATTTTCGATATAACTGGTGTAATTCTCACCCTTCTGCTGAGCCCTAGTACGCGAGCGCTGTTTGACCCGTAGTTTGCGAAGCGCAGGACGGCCAAACCAGTCCGCAAACGCCGTACGGAAGGCTGACTAGGTGGGGAGGTCTCTCTCTTGATTACGGTACCACAAACTGGCGGCGTCGGTCAAATAAAATTGGACGACAGTGAGCTTGTGCGAGTCGTCCCACTTGTTGTGCTCGCTCACCCGGTCGTATTCGTAGAGCCAGTTTTCCACGTCCTTGTCATTCACGGAAATTAGGCGGATCGCGTTGCCGAAAGGAGCCGAGACAGACAGGAGCTGCAGTAGTCGGAGCTGAGGCGGCTGCCTGCTGATCGTCGCCCGTTGACATCGTAGCAACTTAAAGCAACCTACGGTTTCTCTCTTCCAGGAATATGCGTTACCCCGTACCTCCACCAATTAAAATGAGGCGTTTTAGAGCGGCACTCTCTTATAAAACAGGAGAACGGTCACAACAAGTCAAGTGGTAATGGCTGAACCAGCCTGTGTATCCAGCCAACCAAACGTCGTCCTCTTCACAGGCTGAGGATATATATATTGTCACGGGCTAAGTAGATGCCTGAGGATGACGACGACGAAGTGCTGAACGTGAACGTGCTCGGACTGCAGCAGCGTTGTACGCATTTGCTCGCCAGTGTATACTTTATTCCCCGTAACATCATTGGTGGAAGGTGCGGGGTACCACTCGCTATACAGCCCAACAAGCTGGATCTTCGCAGCGGACGGCGCATTGCAGCTACCACGATGACTGACCAGGCTACTCAATGTCAACAAGATCCGTCAGCCCCGCAGCCGATCGTTGTGGTGCAACCTCGTGACCCAGGCCCATTCAACGGCACAAGTGGAATAGACGTCGATGACTGGCTGGTTCTCTATGAGCGCGTCAGCAGCAGCAACCACTGGCATCCGACGCTTATGTTGGCGAACATCATCTTCTACTTGCATGGCACGGCAAAACTCTGGTACGACACACATCACGGAGAGTTGACTAGCTGGGACGTCTGTAAGCAGAAATTGCGCTGTCTATTTGGGAAACCCATCAGACGTCGAGTGGCCGCAAAGAAAGAGCTTGCGACTCGTGCCCAGACATCCACAAAGCCGTACATCGCGTACATCCAGGACGTGTTGGCTTTGTTCCGCAAGGTCAACAAGGACATGCTCGACGAGGACAAAGTCGGACACATCCTGAAAGGAATTGCGGATGACGCCTTCAATTTTATTCTGTGCAAGGACTGCTCGATGGTGGAGTCGGTCTTCGAAGCATGTCGTCGCTTCGAACAGGCAAAAAGTGGGCGCATAGTTCACCGATTTGACCGCCTTCCCAACACGGCGGCTACGTCCTCTTGCGAAGATTTGCCCACACTACACCAATCACCAGTGCCAGAAAACGTCACCAGAATTGTCCGTCGGGAACTCGAGGCTATGGCACCCGCTATGTCTAGCGTCAGCGCGCCAGGACACAAACTCGAT